CTCCAATCCCACCAGCAAGGTATGAGCTGAAATCCAGTATTGCTGAGCTCCAGGAACATCCTTCTCCCTGCTGCAGGACCCTACTCACTGCCCCAGCCACAATAGGGCATCCCCATTTCCCCATCCCCATACCTGGAAATCTGACTTCTTCCAGCCTTCCTTCTCCAGGGGCTTCCGCAGCTCTTTATATCCCCAGATTGTCTGCAAGACGAGGGCAGCTGCTCGGACTTCTCTCTCTGAGCGGTTCCTAGAAAGAGGTGAAGGAAGAGAAGTTTGGAAATACTCACAGCCTCAAGGAAGCTCCTGGAAAAGCCCTTCTCTGCCCCTTGCATTATCCTTTGAGCAGAGCCTACCCAGATTTGTTGATCAGCACCAACTTCTCAATCCCCTGTGTTTCCCGCAGCTTCTTGGCAGCCTCTAGGTTGTCTACAATTACTTCATTGACGGTGTTGAGGATTGACACCACTGTGTCTTCAGAAAGGTTTTTGGCTGGGGTCTGCTGTCCTCCAGGCAAGTTCTTCACTAGGTTGGGGATGGCATGTTTACCTGGCAAGGGGAAAGAGCCGGGCATGAGAAAGCAAGGAAGAGGACTGCGAGGGGGGAAAAAAAATAATCACTGCAGAAAGGTCAGGGACAGGTGACCAATTTTGATGTCCGTCTCAGTGGAGCTCACCACGTGCTACTCTGGGAGAGAAGCAGCAGACAGACACTGGGCTGATGCCATGCCCACACACTTCCTCAGCTGCCAAGATCAGGGGGAAGTTCCCACCTAACTGGATGGATAGGGACATCATGACGTTCTCTGCAGCCCTCACCTATCAGCTCTTTGTTACGCAAGTCGACAGCCAAGTTGCGCAGGGCTCCAGACGCTGCTTTCACCACTCGCTCGCTGTCATGGCTCAGGAGGTCAGCAATGGCAGAGAGTCCCTTCTCCTGGCGCAATGCCGAGCGGATGTAGCGGCCATACTGCAGGGGAGAGGCAGAACACCACAGCGTGACCTGGGCAGGCACAGTCTCTCCCCACTCCTGCGGCAGGGACACCACTGGGACCCTTGCCACCCACCCTCATCTTGGGAACTGATGATCCTGGCTTCACCCACAGCAAGACAGACTGCAAAGGTCCCGTTCCTGTCCCGAAGCCCCCTTGCAGACCACGCAAGTAAAATTTCCCAGATGGTCTTTTCACACACACCAAGAGAATGCAGGTCAAGGGGCTACAGAGTGGCCCCAAGCCTTCACCCCCTGCCCCCAGCCTACAGAAGGGAAGGAACGGCAGGGGGGGAGCAACAGACAGGCAGCCCTTGTGAAGGCACCGCTGGCAGGGAGCACAGAGCACAGCACAGGAGAGACCTGGTCCACACCTGAACTGTGCTGCTGAATGGCATCTTCTTGGGCAGTGAGCCATGCACAAAGTGAACAGCCTGAATCGGCAGTGCCTTGGCCATCTACAGCTCTGCCAGTACCACAAGGGTGATGGTCCCTGCTCACCCAAGGGCCCCTCCCCTGCAACGCAGACAGACATGGACACAGCCAGCTCCGCGAGGCACTCACCGTCCAACTGCCAGCACACAGGTTTTGAATGGCTCCTGCCGAAGCCTCCAGGATGGCTGGAGTCTTGCTTTCCTTTAGAAGGGAGATGTATATCCGGACCACTTCTGGCTGGAAGAGGAGCTCGTAGCCTGGCAGAAGAACACACGGAGGAAGGACTTACTCAAGGGCTCTGCTAGCATCTGACTCATTCAAAGGAGCACTGCTGGGCAGACAAGGGTGGTTTACCCACCCAGGCTCACTGCTCCCTGGAGGCTGCATCCTTGGTGCAGTGGGAACCAGGCTGCCCCACAGTACCAGAAAAAAAAGCCCCCAGCACCAGCCCTGATCAGGGATGCCATGGCTGCTGCTCACAGTCCCCAACACGGCTGCAGCTCAGGAGGTTTGGGCTGAGCCACAGTACTGCTGCCATCAGCAAGGACACCTCAATTTCAGTACAACATCTGGCTGAGAAGTACACAACCCAGGCAAGGGCACATGGTGGGACAGCAAACTTGGCAGACAGGCACTGTGGTAGCAAAAGGTGCAGCCCACACCCTCAGCAGGAGGAAGGGGAAACACTCTGATCAAGTGGTCACCAACACCATGCTGAAGAAGCCTGGGTTCAGCTTATACTCAAGAGACTGAAGGCACCAGGTCTCCAGCTCTCCACTACAGCAACAAGGAGGCAGGAGTCAGGCCTTCAAATATTAATTATTTTCCATGGAAATGTATGCCCAGAAGTGACTTCTAAAGCAGTGGTGAGACTGCAGTTTACAGTTGCGAGGACAGGTTTTCCATCTTGTTCTCTGTCCTCAGCTGTGGTGAGGGATGTCCCCAGCCCCCAAAGACAGAGCAGGTGGTTTCTCAGGCTTCCAACACAGATGGGTGCTGACTCTTCCTGAGGAGCCACCACTGCTTATTTGAGCTGCTCACAAGGTCAGATGTGTCCTAAGTTTCCTTATGATTCTTCCAGTTTGTCTCTTTGTACCCCTGGGAGCACCAGGATCCTCCCAGGAACCAGAGTGTTTGGGGGCAGAAGGAGCCGACCTCAGGCCCTGGGCTGATGCCCACCACGTGGCCAGCAAGAGAGGGGCTGTGATTCACAGCCCTCTAGGCAAGGCGCTTGTCACCAGAGGCTTCTTGCAATGACCCTTCCTTGTGCTCATGCTGGAGAACATTTTAAGGGCAGGGTTTTCTGGCTTTAAATCCTGCCCGTTCTTCATGCCCAGGAGGTAAGAGCAGGCAAGAGGGCAGTTATGCTGAGAAGTCCGAGACCACCACGGAGGCCTACCATTCCTAGGGCTGTCTCACCATGCTGTCCCTAGGGCAATACTTCCCTCTGCAGCCCCAGGAAGTCTGCCTTGAGGCAGTGCTGACCTACTCCAAGCACAACAAGCATCCTCACAACTGTCTGTGGCAGAGCTAGTGTTTTTACAGGCAACTGAACAACCAGAAACATACCTCCTCCAAACCAAACCTCTGCCCATTTGAGAGGCTCCCTTCAATGGGAAATCAACTCCACTCACTTTCCTGGACTGCTTGTGGGGAAGCAGCCTTGCAGACCCAAGCCCTCTGCAAACACACCGAGGAACATACCTTTGGCTGGAGTTGTTCTTTTGGGAAAATCCACTGTATCAGCACCAGGGTCTTCTGGGAGCTTTTTACCTTCAAAGGGCAAGCAGAGAGGCGTAAGATACCTCCTCTCCCCACCCATCTCAGCCCAACAGCTCTTTGCCACTTGCTACAAGAACAAGCCCCAAGGTGAGCTGAAGCTAAGCTACCAGCATGTCCCAGGAGAGGACATCAAGGGCATTAGCCACACTGCAGGCAGTACATGCCCGGCTGGAGGGGGAACAAAGAGAGCTAGAGAAAGCACCCAATCAAACCATGGAAAAATTAAAACCAAGAGCACACTCACCTCTGGAAAACCATTCGTCTATTGGCGAAGCGGAGAGAAGGACAGGAGAGAGGGGAGGCAGGAGGAGAGAAGTGCCGACAGCATCATGGGGCAGATCATTTGGCAAGAAAGCAAAGGGAAAGGGGCAACACGGGAGAAAAGGAAGGTGTGGAGTTAGTGGACATCTATCCATCACCATCCCACCACCACAGAAACCCACAATTAGCTCGTGTCAAACGCTCTGGGTCAGCCAAGCAGTAGCTCCCAAAGCCAGGGGACACCTGAACCCCTGTGTCTCCAGAGAAAGCTGCAGTTTAGCCTTCACACAAGAGATCCTAGAGCAGGAGCACAGAGATCCCAAACCACCCTCAAGCTCCACTGTAGTAGATGTGTTTTTATCCCACCTCCCTCCATGCTGCTGCCACCCAACGAACCTTTGCCCTTCTTGGCACCAAAGCAGCTCGCAGGGTGGGGCCCAGCATTGTTGGCAGGGGCCAGAGGTGTCTCCTGGTAGCGCTCGGCATGGGGAATCTCACGGTGGACTTGGTAGGACAAGTTTCTCAGCAGGCACACACAGTTCTCCACCAGCTAGAGAGAAATACAGAGTTTGACTTGGAGCAGCACATGCCCATCCCATGTCTCCGAGCGAGGGCCCCGTCACAGCTTGCAACTCAAAGCCAGGCCAAGAGGCTCTGACCTGGGACCAGAGGGAAATGCAGTTCCAACTCAAATGGAGCTGGAGCATGCCCCCATCCTAAAGCAGGCATGGCCAGTTCTGTGGGCGTGAGTTCATCCTCTGCTGGGCCAAAAATCTCTCTGCTATAAGCATGAAAGGTTCAAGGAAAGGATCAAAGAAAACTGAAGCCAACACCTCAATTGAGGTAGATCAGGGAGCCCTGAGCCAGAGGATACCAGCATGGGGATTAGTGACATCACCTGTCCCTTGTGGAAGGGCCAACATTCCTACCACAGACTGCAGGCTGAGTGTCAGACACCTGGTCAAACAGTACCCAGGTCACACCCCATGCAGGCTCTCTCTTCCCAAGCAGAGATCATGGAGAGACCTGAGCCTGGTTTTCCCAAGCTAGTCCTGTCAGACCAAATCCCTCTCTGGTGAAGATTCCCCCCATCTATTCTTCATCTGTCTTGGGATGAACCCAGCTTCAGTCACCATGAACAGCAGAGCACTGCTAGAGCTGGGTGACAAGGGCAGAGCTCTACACATGCCCCGACAACACCTCCACTGTGGTACCTTGCTGTCTGAGTCCTTCTGGCCAATTTCAGACTGGACGATGTAGATCAGGGCATCCACCAGCCCGTCACATTCCCGCAGCTTCCGACGGGCCTCGCTCCGCTCTGAACTCACATTCCTGGCAGGCAGGAGAGAAGGAGAGAACCATCATGGAAGAGACAGCTACGGGCAGGCGAGGAGGAGCCCACACCCAGCAGAGCTCAAACTAGAGAAAAGCTCCTGTAGCTCCCCTCCACTGAGAGAAACTCCGCCAAAAATCAAGGACTGCATTACCAGTAGCTGTCCTAGGAGAGCAGCTCCTCTGCAGACCTCTGGCACTCCCAGAAAGCTAGCAGGAAGGAGTGTTACAGCAGCCCCAACCCACATCAGCTCTCTGCCAGCAGTTGGTAGCCCCCCTCCCATACCTAAGGCAGCCAGCAGTGTTGGTGAGCACCGACTCCCACTCGATATGGCGGGGTTTCGAGTCCTCATTGGGTTCCCGCTCCCAGCCTGAGCGGGGAATGACAACCTCATCGGTCAGAGCATGTAGTGCATGATCCACAATGGCCATCTTGATGGAGTCGTGCGAGGACAGGTTCCACAGTGTTCCTGAAATGCCCCAAGTGGGAGGTGATCAATCACACTGTGTGGGCTTAAAAACCCCACACTGTGCATCCCTCACCCAACAGATTAGCCCCTCCTCTCCTCCCGGGAGCCATTACCTGTGATGACCTCTGTGAGGTCCATGTCATGGGCCTTCCGCAACAGGCGTACCAGAGCAGGTACCCCATCACAGTTCTTGATGGCAATCTTATTGTCTTGGTCTTTGCCAAAGGAGATGTTCTTGAGGGCTCCACAGGCACCATAGTGCACCTCTTTCTTGGGGTGGTCTAGCAATCCCACCAGCA